TTTTGCATGCCAGTATTCACATCCAAGCATATTTTGCCTGTAACTGATGAATAAAACAGTTTAATTGCATAAGGTGTCCACCGTTATATCATAAGCATTGCCCTTTTCCTTCAATTATCAGCTATAATGACCATGAAGCATCCTCTTGATCCTTTGCCCCTCTCTCCTTCGCTAGCGACTGGGTGTTCAGAATGTCTCTACTGCTTTTACAGGTGATGCTGGAGGAAAGGATCCTTGCCACAATTACTTTGCTTCCTGTGAATTGTCTGTGAAGATGAATTCTCAAAAGAAGGATTAATCATTTGTCCAAAGCAAGTTTTCACACTTCTGCCAAATATTGACTATCCCTCTCCAAAAGTGTTATTTCTTGAACCCTCTAGTGGTAGTGTTGTCCAATGCGAAGTGCACAGGCTTTGAAATCAGGACTAGGTTCAAATTCCAGCGTGGTCACTTACTTTACCTCTCTAAGCCTTCATTTTCTAAAACGCGAATAATAAAGGTGATCTCATCATAAGGATTATATGAGATTTCAAATACAAGTAACCTACCGAGTGCCTGATTTAGGTGCTAAATCCATTCTTTGTAGCCTCTACATTTTCTCTCTCCTTGGAGTTATGTGGGACAAGCAACTTCTTACTTTTCAAACTTCCTGTCCTTCTTGAACCATGTTTTCCCATGAAAGTCATGGAACAGGAATGATCATCTATAGTGCTCTAATGGGTGCTACTAAAGAGAAATATAAAGCCATCCACAAATTCAAACTGTGTGTGTAATTTTACATTTCCTGATAGACACATTTAAAAATGTAAACAGAAATAAGCTAAATTAATTTTAACCCCAATAGGCCATCCATATTTCCAGATTCCACATAGGCAGATTTTGACCTGCCTCCAATTTAAAATGTTGAGGGTGTGGGGGACACATGTAAATTTTTTTCTTTTTTTTTAATGGATGGAACTAGAGACCATTATGTTAAGTGAAATAAGGCAAACTCAGAAAGTCCAAGAGTCGTATGTTTCCTCTCATATGTGGAAGATAGAGAGGAAAAAGGAAAAAAAAAAGGTGAGAGATGAGGATATCATGAAAATCCAAGGAGATCAGTAGAGGAAAGAGAATAGGGGATGTGAGGTACAGAGGGAGGGGGAAAGTGCTGGGGAGTGATATTAATCAAATTACATTGTTATTAATACATTGATATTAATCAAGTTACATTGCTTGCATATACAAATATGTAACAACAAATCCCATCATTATGTACAACTACCATACCCCAATTAAAAATGTGGAAAGAAAATAATTTTCTTGTCATTGTTCCCTAAGTAATACAGTATAACATATTTACATAGCATTGACATTGTATTAGGTACTGTAAGTAACCTTGAGGTGATTTTAAATACAGGGAAAGATATGCCTAGATCATATGTAAACACTGTGCCATTTTAAATAAAGGACTTGAGCATCCTTGGATTTGTGTATCCAAGGGGGTTCCTGGAACCAATCTCTCTCAGATACCAAGTGACAACTTTATATCCAAAATCTAATATCTAATCAATATTTTAAGTATTATTAAAATAGTTTACATTTTTATGTTAGTTTATAATATCTTTGAAATATGGTGTGTATTTTAGACAATTCAGACTGGCCATGTTTCCAAGTATGGCATGTTTCCTTCCCCTGCCACTGCCAGATGGCCAAACTGCCTTGCCTTCCTAAGGTGAAGTTCACCAGGGTTGGGGGCCGGTGGGGGGAGAGCAGTACCAACACTTCATTTCTCCACCTGGTATCTAAAAGACGTCTCCATCTTTACATGTTCAAACTCATAATTCTAAACAACCACAGCCTTCCAAATCTGCACCTACTGTCCTTGACCCAGATCAGAAAGTGAAAATCCCGTACTGCTGTGGTTCTAGAATCACTTTTCATTTCTTACTTTCTCCTATATGATACACCTAGAACATCATCAAATCCCACACTCAAAGAATTATCTAGAATCTAGCCCCTCTAACCACTCTTATTATCTCTACCACTTATCACTTTGGGGCAAGCCACATCACCTCTAGCCTGGATTGTTCCAAAAGCCTCTTAATTTCACTTCTTTTTCCCCTTTGCTTCCTACAATCTCTTTTCCAAATGAAAATCAAAATGTTTCTTCTTTAAAATACAAGCATACAGGCTGGGGTTGTAGCCTAGCATCTGCGAGGCACTGGGTTCAATCCTCAGCACTACATAAAAAAATAAATAAATAAAATAAAGGTATTGTTTCCACCTACAAATAAAAAATATATACTTTTTAAAAATGCAAGCATACATAAGCAACAATAAAAGAATTTAATATAACTGAAATTATATAAAATACAAAAATTTTAAAAAATACAAACCACTTACAAATCAACCTAGGTGAGTATATATAGTATTTTATGAAAATTATAACATTGCATATAAGTACTTTAAAAAGGGCTTAAATAAATGGGGATATAAACCATGCTCATGAATTAGAAGAGTAATTTTCATAAAGATATCACAAAATACATTTCTAGTCAAAATATGAAGATGGGTTTCTGTTGAAATTAATTAGCTGATTCTAAAATTTATATAAAGGGATAAAGTACTAAAAATAGGGCAGAATGGAAGAAGAAGAAAAAATACAGAATTTTTCTAAGTATCAAATTTTAGTATTAGCAAAAGAATAGACAAACTAACAAAATAGCTTAAAAACAGACCCACATGTACATGATGACCTGATTGCCATAGAACTGTTGTAACTCAGTGACTGAAAAATGTTTGTAATAAACTATTAATATTAAGAATGTGTTTTGAATTGTGGCAAATCAACAGGATGAAAAGACATATGCTCACATAGAGAAATGGGCAAAAGATTTAAACCTGCAAAAGGCTCCAGAATGGCCAATTAACATATAAAGAGATGATCAGCCTTGTAATTTGAGAACTGTAAATTTAAAACATGGTTAGATGGCTTTTCACTGCTGCCAGGTTAGCAAAATTAAAATATCTGACAATATTAAATGGTATATTAAATGGTGGTAAAGATGTAGCAGAACAAAAAATTTGAACCACTGCTGGTGGATTAGTAAAATAGTATATATGGTCAGCCGTCTGTATCTGTAGATTCCACATCTTTGGATTTAACCACAGATTATTATAAGTATAATTATAATCTAGAAATAATTTAACACATATGGGAGGATTGTGTAGGTTATATGCAAATTCTGCACCATTTTATATAAGGAACTTGAACATCTGCAGATTTTTTATATCTGTAGAGGGTTCTGGAACAAATCCCCACTGAGGATACTGAGAAACAACTGTAATCACTTTGGGAAATGACTTAGTTTAAGGCTAAAAACAGGTATACCTCGTGACCCACCAGTTCTATTTTTCGAGTATGTACCCTAGAGATATTCTCACACATACACAAGAATAGTCCTAACAGCACTGCTTATAACAGAAAACAGAAACCTGGAAATATCTCAAGTGCCCATCTGCGGTATCTCAGAGAAATATGTTTTGGTATATTCACGTAGCAGAATACTACATAGCAGTAAACATGAAGGCATTAGAGGCCCATGCAACAACATAAAGAAATACCAGTAACATAATTTTGAGTCAATTAAACAAATCTCAAAAGAACATTTGATTCCATGCCTATGAAGTTTCCAGAATGTTCAAAACCAAGTCATAAATATATGGCCAAGATTGGAGATAGTTGCTGCCTCTGAGGAGGGAGGTTGGATAAACACACAGAGGATTTCAAAGATGATGATGAACTTCAATAAAAAAATCTAAAATGTCACACACAGGAGCGGTGTTCTTTTTATTCCTTCTACCCTACAAGCTTCTTTTAAATTGCCTTTTTCTGTCTACTCAGTATTGAAAATCTTCCCAGGTCCATGGGAATTCAGCCCAGGCCCTCCAGTGGACAAACAGAAAGGTTCTCCCTAACCTGACCCCGTTCCTTACCTCTCTGGCTGTGTCCCCAGACACACCCCTCTCCCCACTCTGCCATGCTGGTCTCCACCAGGCTCCTTCTCTGGACCTTAGCATGCTTCAGAAACTCAGGCCCTGCCTCCTTCAGGTCTCCCCTTGAAGACCTAAGCCACTTCCAGCCCCCCAGCCTCCAACCCATATTAGCCCATGGCTCTGAGCACCACAGACCCCTCTGTCCATTGACTGTCCCCTCTGCCATCTCTGGGCAGAGAATGGCCTTCCAATAAATATCTGTTGAATAAATAAAAAGGAGAACAATGCAGAAACCAAATTAAAATCAAAGGTTCCATTGAGAGAACAATCCATAAAACCCTTATTTATCAATTCAGAGAAACTGGGACAAAGGATTAGTTCACTATTCTAGAAGGTCTGATTTTAGAGGGGAGAAGAACTACTCCTCAATGAGCCAAGTCGTCCTATTTAATAAAAAAAAAAAGTATCAATTCAGCAGTTTGATATGGTAATTCAGATAAGGGAAATGAGGCCCCAAAGAAGCATCTATTACCAGATCTCCAAGTGAGACCAACAAGGCCCTCTTGGTGGCAGTCTGGAGTGATCCCCACGGCACTCTCCAGAGGCCTGCCCAGGGGCTGGGAGGGGAGTTCCACACTCAGGACCTTCTCTCCATTCCTTCAACAATTGGCATAGGCCAGTGTCAGCCTTTCCCAGAGGTGGCAGGGTCACATTCCCAGCAAAGCTCTGGAAAAGGTCTTGACCTGAGGTAGGAGGATGAGGAGTGGTGCTGGAGCCCAGTGTGGCTCAGCAAACCCCACAGTGACCAACTCCGCAGCAGACCCAGGCACCCCAGTGACCCGACCACATAGCCACTCTCACTGCACACAGTTCCTGCTCGGCAGCTCGCCTCCTCTCTCACATCCACACTCGGAGCAGGCACCCGTGGTCACAGTCTTCCTGGAGGCAGCCAGCAGGCCCTACCTTGACAGACAGGCCTCTCTCTGGGTTGGGCTGGCTTGGCCAAGAGCAAGGTGACCTACCTGGAGAGGTGGCAGTCAGGACCTGGAGACTTTAGATGGTGTGAGTGCCTCCATCCTTGGCCCGCAGCCCCTAAGGCTCAGGGGAAGAAGACCCGGCCTAGCAGGTCAGCCTTCAACATGTTTCACTATGAATCACTCACGCTGGGTCTCTGCTCATTTCCTGGAGAAAGCAGAAGTGGAGAGTCTGCAGATGCCTGGTTCTGCCCAACCCCACCCCCAGCCGATGACGGAGCTGCTTGAGTTCTGTCTTGGCGCTTTGACCTTTGAAGAAAGGCCTTTGGGGATACACACTCAATGGTCAAGCTGTGCTGGGTGGGGCCGAGCACAAAAAGGGAAAGGACAACCAGGTAGCATGGATCTGAATTCAGTGTCCACTATTCGCTCACTGTGTAACCATCATGGCCTGCCTACCCTTTCTGAGCCTCTAATAAAATGAAGACAATAGTGGTGTTTAGGTCAATCTAATGAGAGACACATCTAAAGTGCATCCCTGACCAGGTGCAGTGGGGCACACCGATTACCCCAGAGGCTTGGGAGGCTGAGACAGGAGGATCGCAAGATCAAAGCCAGCCTCAGCAAAAGCAAGGTGCTAAGCAATTCGGTGACACCTAGTCTCTAAATAAAATATAAAATAGGGCTAGGGATGTGGCTCAGTAGCTAAACGCCCCTGGGTTCAATCCCTAAATAAATAAATAAATCCAAAAATAAATACATAAAGTGCATCTCTGGACATCGCATGAGCTCATCAGCCCGCTTCCACCAGGCTCAGAGACTTTCACTTGAATTTCTTCCTTTTTTATCCTCAGATCTAAATTGAACCACCAATCAAGAAAGTCACCTGATGTCAGATGGTTAACCATGGAGTAACACAGAAGAAATGATTAAAGAAAACTTAAAATGATAATTTGACATTCTCTGAAACACAGCATCTAAATTTTCATTCCTTTGAGTACATTAGGTTGAATCGTTCCATATCACCTATCCCTGCCATCCAGAGATAGGGCCAGCAAGCACATCCATTCACACACAACACCTTCCGTGACCTCTGGAAAGACACAGCTGCCCTATGAGCAGGAGCAGTTGTTAGCATGAACACCTGACCATTGACACTCAAGCTCATCACAGGTTTCTGGCTCACAGAGCCATTCGATCTTTCATGAGTAACTGTATGTGAAAGATCACAACACCATCTGTTATGAGAAGCAGTAAGGCTCCAAAGTTGGTTCCAAGATGAAACAACATCTGTATGAAACCTCATGGTACCGATACAAACTTGTCAGTAAACAGCAGCCAAAATAAATGATCTCACCGGCTCTCGGTTTGGGCCCCCAAATCCATGCTGATCCCTCCTCATACTCTGTAACAGGGGTCAGCAGAACCAACATTCCTGCTCAAGTTTTTGTCTCTTTTCCACATCTGTGGGCAAAGACTGGAAGGATAATGCACAATAGGGTCCTACAGATCATCTTGAGAGAAGGAACACATGCATATGGCAGCATTAATTATCACTTTGCCAAGCCAAAAGGGACGCCAGTTCCTTTTAAAACAACAAATTAGTACCCATGGTTAGAATATGTCCAAGATCCATTGTACCATGTTATGGGAGAATTTTCTTGGCAGTTTGTACAAGATATTTCCCTAGAGAGAAGTAACTAAGGATCAGAGGCCAGTAGGGGATGGACTTGAACCTGTGGATTCATCTGTATCTAGGATGGAGTCGCACTGTGCAAGAGAATAAAGGATAAGAAGAGAAATTAAAAGTATGCATGCAGGGCAGGCCTAGGGAAGGAAAAACTCTTGGAGATATGTAAAGTGTTTGTAATATGTGACAAAAACGATCCCTCATTCTCACCAATGAATTTATGAATAAAATCTGATACACTGACTGAAAATCAGAGACCCATAGTGAGAAAACAGTAAACACCAGAACATTCCATAGAGATCAGAAGAGTGCTGCCATGGGACAGGCCAGGGCTCTGCCTGTGAATGCACCATGGAAACCTGGAGCAAGGGAGGTTTACAGAATCCCACAGGAGAAACTACATGCAGCCAGGTCTCTCAGCCATCTGCAGCTCACAACACCATGCTGGGCATCCACACCAGGCAGACGAAGAGCATTAAATTCAGAGTAAGAACACCAAGGTTGAAATCCTCTCTTCTATACTGATATAATCGGCATGTTCAAATCTGTTTGTTATTTGTAGGATGGTATTAATGCAGTGTGGTAAGGAACAAACCAAGTGATAATTGCAACAGAGTTTTTAAGCACTAAAAATGTCTGTTCAAATGGGAGTTATTACTGAGAGAACTGCTCAGGCTAAGACCCTGAAGATGCCAGGACAACTAGAAACTGCACATGTAAGTATGCACATGTAAGTATGTGTTTCTTAAGAGAAAATGAATGATTCTCTGATTTTTAAAAGATAGTTTAAAAATAGCAAGGGGCTGGAATTGTGGCTCCGTGGTTGAGTGGGTAACACGCATGAGACACTGGGTTCAATCCTCAACACCACATAAAAATGAAATAAAGATATTGTGTGTTCATCTACAACAAAATGTAAATATTTAAAAAAAATAGCAAGTACACTTCTGCCTCCAATGATAACAGTGTAACTGGTACAGGACATCCTCCTACTGCAAGCAACTATAAAATAGAACAAATATATGAGACAACTGTTTTTAGGCTTACCCTGAAATGAGGAAAATACAAAAGGCAAGCCCTGGCTTTCTTCCTAAGGATGCCTTCCCTGGCATTGTGCTGGGAGATGGAGCCCCAGGAGCAGTGATTTCCTTGAACTTGAAAGGTATAAATCAGAGCTCAAGAATCTGAAGGGCTACCATTTTCAGAGTATTTTAAAGAAACTCATTATGTGTGCCCTTGGCCAAGGGCCCTTGTGCAGATACGGGCAAAAACTCTGTGAGACCTATCAGATGTTACCTACTCTATAACAGAGACCATGAAGTGTTAGGAATGTAGAGGTCCATCCCATCCAGAGTGGAAAGACCTCACTGCACATCAGAGGATTTCATCTTGTACCTCAGAAAGACCATACCTGAGAAATACCCTAGAATAGCAGCCATGAACTTAGAATAAGTTTAGATTTGAAATCAAATAGTCCTGTGTGATAATTAATTTTATGAGTCAACTTGACTGGACTATGAGGTGCCCAGATATTTGGTTAAATATTATTCTGATTATTCTGGGTATGTTTGTTAGGATGTATTTTGGATGAGATTTATATTTGAATCGATAGACCCAGTAAAGCAGACTGTCCTCCTTAACGTGCATGGACCATATACAATCCAATTGAAAAAGTCTGAATAGAACACAAAGCTAAATAATAGAACTTTTTCTGCTTACTGGCTGCTTGATCTAGGACATCAGTCTTCTCCTGTCCTTGGACTATAAATTACACCACTGAGTCTTCAGAAAATTGAAACTTTGGATCATACTGGACTATCCCCTTGTTTTTCCTGAATCTCTTGTTTGTCAACTGCCAATCTTAAACCTTCTCGCCCTTTACAGTCAAAAGAACCAATTCCTTATACAAATAAATAAAAAAGCAAGTATGTGTGTATGGTAGAGTTTGGATCAGGACTATTCTCTGAAGGCCCTTGAGCCCAAAGTTTAGTCTGCAGCTTGGCACTACTGAGAGATAGTAGAAACTTAGCAGAAGGTCTTCAAGACACTTGGTGTTCACTTGAAGGGGGTTTGAGAACCCAGCCTCTTACTCATTCTCTGTTTTGCATCAGTCTTGAAATGAGCAGCTTTGTTTTCCCAGGCATTCCTCACTATGATGTGCTACCTCGACATAGTCCCCAAAGCAATGAGACTAACTGATCATGAATTGAAGTCACTAAAACCTAAGCCAAAATAGAATTTTTCTCTGTCCTCTTTATAAATTGTTTTATATGTGTTATAGTGTTAGAGTGACAGAAAGATGAATAACTCTGTGTGTATGTGTGTGTGTGTGTGTGTGTGTGTGTGTGTGTGT